GAGGGAGGTGATCCTGCCCCTCTCCTCAGCCCTGGGGAGGCCTCACCTGGAGTACTGTGTCCAGTTCTGGGCTCCCCAGGACAAGAGAGACATGGCACTGCTAGAGAGAGTCCAGCGGAGGGCTACAAAGATGATGAGGGGACTGGATGGAGCCTCTCTCCTCTGAAGAAAGGCTGCGAGAGCTGGGCCTGTTCAGCCTGGAGAAGAGAAGGCTGAGAGGCGATCTCATCAACGTGTACAAGTATCTGAAGGGGGAGTGTCAAGAGGATGAGGCCAATCTCTTCTCCGTGGTGCCCAGCAACAGGACAAGAGGCAATGGGCAGGAACTGAACCACAGGCAGTTCCATCTGAACCTGAGGAAAAACTTCTTCACTGTGAGGGTGACAGAGCATTGGAGCAGGTTGCCCAGAGAGGTGGTGGAGTCTCCTTCGCTGGAGATATTCAAAACCCGTCTGGATGTGATCCTGGGCAATATGCTCTAGAGGGCCCTGCTGGAGCAGGGAGGTTGGACTAGATGATCTCCAGAGGTCCCTTCCAAGCTAAACCATTTTGTAATTTCTGTGGCTATAGTTTCTTAATTGTGATTTTGTTCTGTTTTTAGTGGGAGACTGAATATTCTACAGATAGTCCGTGATGAGGCATAGAAATAAATCTTAATTATGAATAGTTGGAATATTTAAAGCCATATAATGCCCTCTATGCTTTCACAGGCATTTTCTACCTAGTACTAGTTCCTGCCTTGTTAATAACCCTCAAATTATTCTCATCATAATCATATTCTTGGGAGATTTTTATCTTAGCCATCAGCTCGTCTCAAGCTACATCAGGCTGAGATTTGAAGTAAGCTACTGTTGAGGACATTCTATTTCGTGGACCAGCTCCACAAGATGGAATAGTTTTCCTTGAAACAAAATGCACAGGCATATGTCAGTCATGAAACCTTCTCTACTATGAGTCAGAAGCCAATCAGAACATTGCAGGATAATTTTTCTTTAAGACGCTGGAATGAAATATCAGAAATCTATGTTATACTTCTCGCTTGTTACTATGAGCTATTTAATCTTACTGCCTCAGTTCCTTTCCTGTGAAGGCTAAAACTAAGCCATGCAAAACACTCCTTGTGTGTACTGCGCCAAATAAGATTGTAACATTCCAATACCCTGCCACTATTGCACATGAGCACCACTGCTTTGTTTTCCAAGATGCTTTCCTAACACAGATGTTTTAAAGTGGAAATATGAAAACATTACCTTGAAGCACGTTGATTTTACATGTGTGAGAGACAAGTAAAAGTTTGTTCTTGGTAATGAGTACCTCTGTACTGCTACAGAGAGCATTACCGAGAGCTGTGGATCTCAGAGGAGCGCACGTGGAAACACTATGAGTTTAACATTTATGATCAGAATTACATTGCTAGTGGCTTCACCTAGAGGAATAGAACATCATCTGGAAGGATAGAAGGACGTTGTATAGGGACCAGAAAGACATTCTAAAACCAAGGTTACTACCCTGTAACAGTAATACTAAAGCCTGGGGTTTTTGATTAACTATGACAATCAACTTCTGATTTGGATTTCAGGCGATGTTCATTTTTATTTTCTCATTAAAATGAAAAAAAAAAATTATTCCTGGAGAAAATAGCATGTATCACCAAATAGATATCAAAGAAATTCTGTATTTTGACTTTGAAGGTTTGGGATTTAAAAAACACTTTACACTTGCTCTACAGTAGCTGACAAATGAACATTTTTAAAATTTTTACTTATTTATTTATTTTTATAGGTCGGAGTGGGGTAGAGCCTGTTTTGTATTTGAAATGTGGTCTCACTCAGATTCTTGAAGAAAATCTGAGGATTCCATTGATCAATGAAGCAAGGGAAATGGCTCTGGCCATTGCTGCACAACAGCAGATGTCGACTATTGAGTATGAAAGAAGGAAGATCACAGGGACTCTGGAGAGCAGTAGTGTCCGAGTTGCAGCCGCATTATTAGGGCTATCCAGAGTAGAGGTAAGAAACACAGTAATCTGCTACTAGAATTTTTTTTTGTCCTTGATTTATAGGACTGAATTTTTGGACTGAATTTTTGTTCTGAAATTGCTTCCTCATTCATACTGTTGAAAAATACTTCCTTCAATAAATCTTAGCTACAGTTAAAAAAGAATATCAATTTTTTATTTCAGTTAGCTTCTGGAAATACAAATTGATTGAAGAACCTTTCATACCCGATGTATTAGACATCTGTATGAGTATCCTTTCTTATGTACATTTTCATAGGGAATGAAAATTTTCGATTAGGATTTTTTCAATTAAAGAACAGACTTGGAGAATAAATCAAGGAGTAAAAAAGACTTTTTCTTGCTTCCCAATCAATCCAAAATAGTTTTGGGAAACTGCGAATCTTCCTTATAAGCTATAGCTCCCTATGTGTACATAATTCCAACCTAGAGATAGTCTACCAAGAATTCAACACCTAGATTGCAATTAAAAAAAAAAGCAAGTAGGCTATTCCTTTAAACATCCAATTAGTATTTGTGAATAAATTTATAATAGCAACATTGCCAAATAAACAAGCGTTTTTCTTGTATAAAGTTCAAATATAACCTTACATGGATGAGGCCAAACTCTGGTTTTTAATTTCCCTTGTGAGGAAACCTGCCTGATGTTACCTGGCCTCAGGCAGGTTGCTGGGCAGCTCTATGTTATGCCAGCTTTCCAGCTGGACTTCTCCCTGAACATGGCTCCCAGTGCTTCATGATTTCCAGTACTAAGAGGGAAAAAATTTTTCCTGATGTCTTGATGATATTGCTAAATTTATATGTAACTGTATAATTTCTATTTACAGATAATTAAAAAAATATACGGGAACTTAAATGAGGAAGAAGAAAGAGTAGATCTAATCTGTGATATGTTTGTAATAGGGCAAGAATTTTAAACATGTAATCCAGATTCAAATATTTTCTTTTTGAATGTTAGCCACTTCCCTGCTATGGTGACATTTAATAAGCTTTTCTTAATTCAAGTCCTATAATGACACCATCACTTAACAAATACTTGATGAAAGACTTGATTGCTCTGAAGCTGTGGATTTAATCAGGGCTGAGAAGAAAATAGGAATAGTCTTTATACCTCTAGGTATGCTAAGACCTAATGTGATTTCTAACATTACTTGGATTGCAAAAGAGTGGAAGACGATTAGATTACTTATGAAAAATGTAATGACGGATACTAACACTGAAACAGTGTTAGTAATCATGTGAAAGGTAAAAATAATATGCAGAAAGAAGTATTTTACTGCATGTACATAAAATCTTGTAATTGTTCATGAGAAATAAAATGGAGTACTTCTGATATATGCTGATGTAGAAAAGACTTTATACTCTGAAAAAATATTTCTTGATATGGTGGCTCACTATGCAGATTAAATTCTGAAAAATGTTCTTGGTAGGTTTTTATCATAAATTCACACTTACTGTCTGTATAAAAATGACAGTATACAAATTCTGGTGACATTTATTGAAGAAACTTTCTTGGGGGGGGCTGCAATTTAGTTTGAAGGTGAAATATGCTTTTAGTTTGTCTAAATGGCCTTCCCTCCCACTGAAAAAGCCCCCATCCAGAGCTCCTGCAGTTTGAAGAATTTATGTATGCTCATGAAATCCTCTGGAAGATGTAGTTGGAGATAAATCTAGAATCCCTAGAATTCTCTTACTTTTTCATTTCCTTTCCACCTTTCTACATACTCCGTATGGGTATAACTATGTGATAAAATAGATGGACAGAAGGGAAGGTGCCCTATGTTATTACTACTTGATAGTCCATCTGTATATATAAAAATAATGAATAAATAACTAAATAATTGTACATTTTTCTTTGTTATTAATGTGTAAATTTTACTCATGTTTGCTTACTCATAGAAATAGTAATAAATATTTCTGGATTTAGACTGCATATGCATTTTCAGTGACATGCACTATATGTTTTTACTTGATCAATCTATATGTATGGATAAATGCCCTAGATATTTTTGCACTGTGTTTTTACAGATGCTTTTACTTGTTGGAAGAAAAAAAGAGAGATTTTGATTCTGTCTTTGCTGATTAGAGATATTAGAAGAATAATGAATTTTTATCTCTTTCCGGTGAAAAAGTTGTTGCACTGATCAGAACTTACTTATTCTGTTGTTTTTGTGCTAAGCACTGCCAGTATTGGGCCAGTATTGCATAATTTACAAATAGAGTAGAGAAGTGACAGTCACCAAGTCTGAGAAGCTTGGAAATGGACATTCAAAGGAAAGCAACAGGGATAAATATTCATCTTTATTTTTTACTTTCTAAGTTAAATTAAAATCAGCTAATTAAATAGTTCTGCTAGAAATAGAATTTTAATAGGGTCTATTACAATCTGGGGCACTGAAAGATTCTAGTAGCAGCAAGGTTCAGTAGCTAATCCCCTCCCACCCCCCAAAAAGGTAACCTCCACTGCTACTTAATCCAAACCATTTGTTGAAGGATTTTTTTCTTTTGCTTAAATAAACTTTGGTACAAATTAAAAAGTAATGCACAAAATGAAATAGTATCAAAACTGAATGCAGCAGTTAGTGAAGTTAAATAACGAATAGATAGGAAAGAAGGACATTAAAGTGATAAGCAGCCAAAGAAGCAGATCTCAAGATTTAAATAAAAAAAGAAAGGTTAAAATAAATAGTCTTGCGCTATTTAATTCTATCAATATGAACTCCATATACATCAAGGCATAAAAAGAGAAATTAAATGATAGCCTGCTCCCTTGTCTAGCTTTGACTATGAATGTGTTTTACTTTTTAATAAAAAAAATTTAGGAAAGTTCTAAATTTTATTTTTTACTTCTACAACTCATGAATATTAATTTCTTAGCTCCTGTTTAAGTATTTCATTAACTTAATTCCTCCTAAAACATTTTAGGCAGTCGTAAGGGGAATATACCACTGAGCTCTCTGCCACAATCAAGGTTGAGGTTGACATTATTTTGGGAAATTACAAATTGCTTTTGTTAATGATGAGTAAGAGAAAGTTGTAGGTGAGAAGCTTAGGTGAACATAGATAACAAGGGAAGAAAAAAGATATCTGGAAAAAGGGAAGAATATATGGAAGATGAGCATATATAGTTTAGATTGGGATTGCTAGTGGTTGTAAAAAGAGGGAGGTGGATAAAGGAACAAGGGAAAGAACAGAATAACCAGAATCCTTTCATTTGGGCATGTCAGGGGAAGGATGATGCAGCCATTGAAGTGGAATTCAAAATGACGTGTTTCAGCTTTCTTTCCTCTAGTTATCCATCTAAAGAGGCACAAATTACATCCGCTATCTAGGTACAGGTCCCTTTCTTTGTAGTCAGGAATGCAAAAAGTCTCTTTGTATAGTTAGACATTGTGACAGGAAAGGAAGAGGAGTCCTGTTCATCCAGTCCTATTTCATCCCAGAACTAAAGCTTACACCTCCTACTGTTGTCTGAACTGGGCTCTCCTCAAACATACAACCAGACTTTTTTTTGTCAGTGGGCCATCTGATCTCAAGGGACTCGACCAGTTTTGATCCAATAATGAAGCTGTAAAAAGTTTTTAACTAGGCTTTATTAGGCCTCCCTAGGAAGGTATGGCTTAACTGAGGATGGGTACCACACCTGTGTATTCTTAATCATAGTCCCCACCCAATAGCTGTTGACATTGTGCAAGTTCTTTCCATCTTTCTGCCATGTGACTAGGCAACACTGAATATTTTATCTTAATTACCTTGTGGTGATGATGATGATGAATTTCGTTGTTTTGGTTTTGGTTAAGAGAAAATGAGCAGAGACGTTGTGTGTTTGTAGCTGTGGCTCCTGTGGCTTGGCTGATGTGACAGAATCCCATCCTACATTTGTCCAACTCTAGTTCTAGAGTTTTGTGCTCTTTTTAATGCCCAGGGTTCAGGAACAAGGATTCTGTGACCTTCATATGATTATAGAAAAGTTGTAAGCTCAGTTCTGTACAGTGCTCTGTCTTTGATACTGTTTTTTTTTTTTTAAATACACATTTTTGAGGAAAAGTCGTGGTATCCTTTAAGAGGTGAAAATAAGATAAAGTAATTAAAAAGTTGCATTAAATAAATGTGAATGGGAATGACCCTTTCAAAAAAATAAATATTTGCCCAGATTTCAGTTTGTTGAGTTTGTAATTGGGACCACTGTCTTTTGTCTTAGTACTCCACTTACTTTTTGATATGGGTTGAAGGAAGATGCAAATATGATTGATCACAGGGATTCTAAGAGACTCGGGACTTAAAGTTCTTTTATTTATGAGGAAGGGTTGTAGAAGTCACTTCCTGGAAGGAAGGAATGGAGCTAAATTAGGATTTATTTAGAAAGCAGTAATATGCAAGGAGTGAGTAAGATGCTGCAGAACTCTAATAGAATCTGTTGTCCTTTATACAAAGAAAATGCAGATGGTGAATCTAAGAAAATAATTTGGAAATTCAATCAGTCTTTGAAAAATATCAAGTTTAATTCTGATGATTCATATGCCTTCCGATTCTTTTCTGGAAAATTACTCTAAAAAAAAAAAAATCCAGGAAACTGAATGCAAACTGTGTTCTTAACTTGTAATAGTATTTCCATACTTGGAATATCATGAACAGTTATGCTGATGAAGCATATCTCGGAATATGTCTTATTTTCTTGCAGCAGCCTTCGGCCTACAGATGATAATGACAGTTACTAAATTCTGTTCATCTCCCACCTTCTTCACTCCCCTGAAAAATACTGAAAAGAAACAGAGCTATTGCGTGACAGATTGATGTTTATCTAAAGTGTTTTGCACATTTTATCTTTTCTTGGACATGTTACCCTTTGGGGCAACAGATTTTAGTCCTGTGTGTGTTTAAAGGTCCCCCTTCCTGCCCCACACCATACACACCTTTAAAGCAAGATCTAGATCTCTTACTAAAAACATTTTCCTTCTTTAATCTTTGACAAGGTACTAGGACAAATTTGAAACATTCCTAGACTGTTGAATACTAGCCAGCTGTCTTTTTTTCTAATATACTTTTAAAGGTGAGATAGAATGAATATGGATCTTTAAAAATAAAGTACTTCAGTGATTTTAGAAATCATGAGCTATATCTTCAAGAGAATTATAATTTAAGTGTCTTCAGTGTTCAATTAAAACTCTTTCAATCATATTGTCAGTTAAGACTTTGCAGATCTTTTAAATCCTACTGGATTTTTATTTCAATGTTGTAAAATAATCTAACTACCAGTATCAGTTTTAGTTTCCATTTCATATTTGAATATGTAGAAGGTTAAAGTTAAACTTGAGCAGGTAAATATATGTAATTGGTTTGGTATTTCCCATTACAAGTGAGAAATCTCGCTCTCTCAATGTCTTTTTTTCCCGTTGTGAACTCTTTTATTGTTTCTATTCTACCAGACAGAAATAGACTTTGTTATTAACATCACAACTGAATTGCGAGCATATATTGATTCTGGGTGTGTGTTTGTGTGCGTGTGTGTGTGTGTATGTGTGTGTGTTCGAGTGTGTCTATGGGAACTCTCAGTGAATTTCCACTCTTGAATGACAGAAATTAATAAATAGTCAGTTCGGGTTAACTCGCATGGCAGTTCTTCTTCCATCCCCGCCACCCTGGTAAATTATTTTGAAAATATGAGTGATGCAATAAAAAAAAAATCAAAAACTGTATATATATATTGTCAACTGAGGTTTACCAGATTCCCAAATTCCATATGTACTTAGTGTTTAACAGTGTGTTGACAATTTGGATAGAGATTAATAATCAGAACAAAGCAACAGTAAAGAATGTAGGTCCAGTTTGTAAACCTCTAAGTGAATGTGTCTTTCTTTATTCAGAAAGAAAAAAAAACAAAGCAAAACCCTTGTTGATTTGAACAATAGGTTGACAATGTTATTTTTGATAGTAATCTTAATCATTATGAAAATTCTTGGTTTTTTTCTCATTCACAAATCTTTCTTTGAATTTCTTTATTTTTAATGTGTAGTTCTCTTACATCCAAACTGCATAAGTTTTCTCACCTTTTAGTGTTTTCAAAATGGATGAATAGCTTAAGATGTCACGTTGGAGTCCTTCCTTAAGAATCAACCTTCCTTTGAAATTTTCTCTTTGAACTCCCACAGTGGATCTCCACTGCCTGTTCCATTGTGATACATGCTGAAATGTCTGCTCTCCAGGCATTATATAACACCAATAGCCTTTGAGAATAAACCGATTTTCCTAGCAAAGACTGAATATTTGTGTAATTATCCCTTCCCCGGTCTTGTTTCAAGATACTTCTCTGTGGTCATTAATACAAGGACTTTTCTGTAAGAAAAGATGACTAATTTCGTATTTAAAATTTGTTGTAGTGATAACTGTTAAACTTAAGCGTTGCATGTATATGCATATATGCACACACACACACACATATATATATATGCATTGCAATATACTGTATTATTGGATGGAAAATAGGTAATTTTGGGGCAAGTAGCATATTAAATTATTTCATTATTTCTGTAACACTATCTTTCAGGAGTCAAATTTGGTTTTCATTAAGATGGCCTATTTTGAGCTTGCCTTTACATATTGTCCTTGTCTCTTACTATTACGTTTCATGCTGTTGATTAGCAAGGCCTTTTACCAAGAAGAGGAGCGTATTTGTCCTTAAGATTCGTTCTATATGCTTTGATTTCTGAAACATCCTGAGTGTCACATCAGTGTTCAAGTTACCTCAGCTAGCTATACATTAATTGCTCAAAAATTTCAAAAGTAATTTTTCCTTATTGTAATATTTACCATTCAGAAACTTTGAGAAGTGGCAGAAGAAACATCTGTCTACATCTTATATGAAATAGATTTTTCTTTTAATGATTGTTCTCCTCTTTTCTGCCTTCCCTGAATAGCTATAAAGGCTTGCAGAGTGTAGGAGGCAGTTTTACTGTACATCTCAAAACGTATTATTTTTAAGTGAGTGTTTCAGATGCATAATATACAAAAAAATGTACAAGACATTTTATTTAGAAGGAGCTCTCGACATTTCTGTATAACTTGCCAAATTACTAGTTCAGTTATAGAAATACACCCTTAAGCCTGTATAATTTTACATTTCTTAACCTGAGATTACTATTGTGATGATTGCTCATATGTATACATTATTCCTTCACTTTCAGAGAGATGCACTCTTACAACCCTGCAAATTTCCCCCAAAGTTAAAGTATATGGATTACAGTGTAGAAGTGAGCATGCAAGAATTCTTTGAGGTTCCTGAAAAGGTCTCTATTCCAGTGTTAGCATCAAGCAGGGTTAACTTGAAAGTTGCCTCAGAAAAAGACCTCTCACCTCAGAAATCAGGTAAGAATATTCTTAAACTACAGCTGATGATGAACTTGGTTTTTCTCTGAGACAATCTTTTTTTTTCTTTAATTTTTAAAAGTTTTGCTTAGCTTGCATTTTGATTCCTCCTTTGCTAGCTGATGTTATGTCCCATAGGTGTCTGATGACAGCACTTGACAAATCATTTTCGATTTTACTAGTTAAAATGTAAGTAGTAATTTCTTTATTAAATCCGGTAAGGAGTTAACGTATAGTCAGTTCACCACTGTGAAGAATTCATAGATTTGTTTATAATTTGTTTTAGGTTTTAGTCAACAAAGGAAAAATTAAAATGCCTTTAACAGACTTGTTAGGAGCAAAGTAATTCTGATTTGGATCAAGACAGTGTTGTGGTCTTCTTATTCATTACCCTCTCTCTCAAAACCCCAAAAATTCATTAAACCTTTTAAATTTTCAGGGATCCCACTTGGAATTCATTGCAGTATTTTATAGAATGTTACTGTTTCAACACTGTGTCACATATGGAGTTCAAAGTGAGCATTGCTTTCGTACATGAACACTTTTCTTTTCCCTGACTTGAAGCTCTTTCTGCCTTTTGTGTTGCAATATAACATTTTAAGCTAAAAAAGTATATCTTTCTATAATCAGTTAATGTTAACAGTTGTACTTTTGAACCTTTGTTGCTTTTTGCTGTTAGCTTTCACTCTTTTAAGATTTTAGCATTAAGGTATTAGCAGAATGCATGATAATCAGCATTCACCATCTGTTAAGTGTCTTCTGTCTTTTTCTATAGCAAATATTTAATTTTTCTTAACTGGTAATTGATAGTTAATTTAGTATCTCAGAGTATTTACTGTGAAAAATGGTTATTCATCTCTCTATTTTTCATATTCTTAAGTTACTGAAAATGAGAGTTGAAAATAATTTTTCCTCAGGTATTTTTTATATTTAGGATCATGATGAAAACTTTAGTTTTTCACAGGAGAGATAAATGTTAATGCCAGCTTAGATTTTGCTAAATATATTTTCTCCCTACTTTCCTTAGATGTAGCACTTACCTTTGGATAACTTTTCATGTTCTAGCAGCATCTAGAAAGCTACAAGTAGTGGAAAGAAGTTCATCATCCATTTACACATATTATTCTCACTGCTAACTGCAAAGCGTACAGGTCTTAAGGTCCTTCACAGGACTGAAGACAGTCTGTGAGAATCACAGATCTGCAGAAACAGATTCCATTTTGTTCTTTCTTTCTCTCAGTCCCTTATTGTTATACTCCTGAATTTTAAGCAAGGGTACCCTTATTCATTTTCTTGTCTTTGCATTCTTTCATATCATTGAGTGTAATCTTTAGATCTTTACAGCCTATATTTACTTATACTCGCAAGGTTTTCTTGTTGCATGATTTACTGTCATAATTATCTACATCTGAATATGTATGGTTACAAAACGAAAATGCAGTGCATACTTATGTAATCTATGTCATTTATGTTCCAAATTAGTATGTGTTCTGAGGCCTATAGGCTTTTAGACTCTTATGATATTTGGCATCTTCATATGTGAAAACAAGAGTACTTTGTTCAATAAGAAAAATACACGTATGCAAGTTTGCAGGGTCAGGACCATGGATGCGTGTTCTCATTGGTTAAGGAAACAGCACTTCCTGTGTGTTTTACAACATCTTCCTAGAGTAAGTCAGAAATTGTTAGGACCTCTAGGTAATCTGAATATTCAGTATTTAAATCTTTGTAAAACAAAATTCTAAAGCCTGTTTATGCGTTTGAACTGTGTTTGAGTATTCTTAGATTTTTTTTCACTATATTACAAATGTTAAGAGAATATAGGACTGTGTTGTCTTACTAATCCAGGTGTTTACACCTGGAGATGAACATGCTCTGCTCATAAGGTGTATAGAAGGTCCAGATCCTTCTGGATCTGACTAATCAGTTTTTGAAGCAGTAAGTCCAGTATTTAAGAATGATGATTGTTTAAATAATACTGTACATCTTCATATATTACCAAAGTATTTGCCTTTTATTTACTGCTTATGAATGTTACTGCATTTTTATGTTAAAATATTTCTTAAATTCTCTATTTTTTCAAGTAGCACAAGAATAAAATCAACTTTTTTATATGGATCTTTTAAAATTTATGCTTCTGTTATTAACATTAATTCAAATCCGTGAAATCAAAACCAGGGTAGATTTTAGCTGAGTTAAAGCTTTTCTATAGTTTAAAAAAAAAAGAGAAAAAAAGTCTAAGGGGTTTGTGATCTACCTTTTTCACCCCACTCTGCCCAAATGCTGAGCTAGATAGGTGTGAAATGTTTAGCATGCTTAGGTGTTCTTGGAGGAAAGATGCTTGCTTTCAGTCAGTGGAGTGTCTTTCTGAATTCCTGCAAACTATCTGAATAGTCAGCTCTTGACCCTAGGAAATTTTTTTCACATTTCTAAACTGTAGCAGGCTGCTCATCATTGCACTTTCTTTTCTGTGTATGTCCTTATAAATCGCAGGCTTCTAGTTCCTGCTGTAATGCTTTAGTCTGCAACATCATGTAGCTTCTGAGATTTTCTCTTTTGTGAGGTAATTCAGTAGCTTGCCAAAGCAAAGCAGTTCTCCTCTCCTTTTAGACCATCCATCTGAACTCTTAAATTAGTCAGTGAAGTCTAAATGATTCTTAATGTAACAGAGACATTCACATAGTTATAGGAGAGCAATAATATTTTACTTTAAGGGATTAGATTGTCTTGTGAAAAGAATGAAAGGCTTTTTGCCATGAAAGGTTAAAACATGTCTTGATCCTCTAGAAGTCTTGAAAGAGGAGATTGGCTGAAAAAATCAGCATAATTGACCAGGAGAGAGAAAGAAGATAGGCACAAGGTCTAAAGCCCTAACTACTACTTTGGCAGGACATGTGAAAGCAACTGAGCTGAAAATGGGAGGGATATACCTTTCTGATAAAACTGTTGTGTAAGTAGGCTAAGTGTAGATTTTCTTTAATGTTTTTGCCTTTTATCAATATTTGCAACAACGTTCTCTGTTTCAGTGTTATGGCTAAATATTTTTATTTGCATGTTTATATTAACATGGCTTTACACATTGTTTTAAAGAAAGTGTGAAGCAATGAGATATTCTCATTACAAGGGTGTGAGGAATCCATAAGCAATAATTTTCACAAGTATCACAGCTCCCCACTGCGTTTCTGCTATATCCAATAGCAACAGAGTGGGTTTCTGTTTGAGCTGCATGAGCAAAGGGATCATGGCCATGTGATTAGGAAAGGCCAAAATGATGGTCCAGTTGCTGTTGTTGACATTGAAAACTCTCTGCTGTGCAGTAGGACATTGGGTTTTCATACAGCACAAACAAGATTCTCACATAGCTGCCATGGACTACTCCAGACTGCTTATCCTCTTTGTTAAGATTCTTATGTTTTATCTTTTCTCTCAGTATTTGATAGAAAGAATCATTTGACTCATCCTGCATGTTCCTGCAACTTCTCGTGGCACTTGGAATCAGGCATAAGCTTTCATGGCTTGTGTTTGTTTTCATCCTTAGCGTATCTCATATGTTTTTTGTTTCTTTTTTGGGCAAAAAAAAAGGGATTTCTGAGTGATTTCTGGCAAATCTTTTTGTTACAGATTCATTCTGTTTGAAGTATAGTTGCTGTGCTGTAAAACATTTTAGGGTGTGTCTAGGCGTATTTTTAGGAAGATTAGAAGAGTTACTGCAATAATAGAAGGCAAACTAGTTTGGGGAATGACTACAGGATTAGTACAGTCAGTAAAGCTGTAGAATAGATGTAAAGCAGGTTTGAGGCTGAAATATTTTTTAAAGAACAGGATATTTAAATCATAGTTAGAATCCTTTTGTTGTTAAGAAATAATTGCCTGTGCTTGTAATAATTGATGCAGAGGTCAACTAAAATTACAATGACTTTGTAAAGTGGCATGGGGGATTCTTTGGATGGCACTGTACAGGAGACAAAGACCAGCTGGAAAGATGGCAAAATCTGCACACACAAATCAAATGAGGACATAAAGTTACATGCATCATGATCTCAGAACAAAGGTTGTTGACTGACCAGATGGCAGGTCACAGTTGCTTAGCAACTTCTCAAATTATTTTTACAGTTTAAATGTGCATGAGCATACATGAAAATTTTAAAGCATTAATTGCTAAACTGCTGTGAAGAAAGTAAATTACATTAAGGATGTGGTTATTTTTCTGTTAGTTCTTGCTGCTTTCTTTATCCATCAATCAAAGGAATTGATAAAAACATCAGAGAAAAGGAAGTACCTGGGAGAAAGTCAGAAACTAAATCACTTGGCAGAAAACACAATCTTTTGGATATTTATTTCCTTTCTAAGACACTTAAATAGTTACATGCAGGAAGAGGAAGGTCAGAGATATTGCAGAGAACTAAATGGAGCTTTGGGAGTGAATTCAGAGAGGTGGTGAGCTGAAGAACAGCTGAAAAAGGAAGATGAGGTAATCAGCTCATAGTGTGAAAACAGTCAAAGATATGTTCCATGGAAAGAAAAAGACAATGCAGGTAGATGCAGTGTATTTCTTTTGTTAATAAGGAAACACAGGAATTTTATAGTCAATTAGAAAATATAATATTCTGACAGAAGTCACCAGGTTGTGTTTCTATGGATAAAGACAAAATCTTGGCTTCATCAGGAGCTTTTCTGTTATCTGAAGAAGAAGCAGGATTTCAGCCGCTGTGGTAGCTTTACTTAAGGTGGGAATAGCCATTTCTCCAAAGAAATGTCAGAGTGCTTAGCTTTATGAAGAAAAATAAAGGTGGAAGCAAGATAACTAAAATCAATCCTGATTCAGAATTTCTTAGACTGCAGCAGCCGTAAGGATGTCTGGCCAATATTGCAAGAACTTTGTCAACCGGGAATTAGAAGGTAAAAATCAATCCCACTCAACATAGTAAAATCTTGTAAAATAGATCTTGTAAAATAACCTTTATTACATTTTTGACAGTATTACAGACCTGATAGTGAAA